ATTCGTGTGACGCACTTCTTGCTCAAGCACGCATAGCTACGCATCTATCTTTAGCCCAAACAACCCAGTGCTTCCTATAGTAGTCCCCTAAAACAATCCCCTATATACAAGAAAAGCTCCTCTAGCCCATTCACTGAGTCCTAACTATGCAGTGCACACTTCCCTGCATCCCTAGACCCTAAGCGCGTAACCCTAAGACAAAACACGGGGGTGCTCCAAAATTTGGGGTACCTTTTTGCGGGTACTTATAAGGTATTTTAGGGTCTATTTTGGAGTCTATATTGGGGTCATCCCTCTTTTGCCTGGTCCTCCTCCGTCGTGGCGCAGCTTTCAGGGCCGCGTGTGGCCCTGATTTCCAGGATGCTATCAGGATCACATTTTAGGGTTTGGGGTTTAGGGCTGTATAGGGCGTGGAGTGTTAAGATGTAAGGGGATTGTACGGGATGTATAGCAAGCTTTGTTGATTTCATGAGGGCTTTGTAACGTGTTCCTGGGATTTGTATGGGTTTTTGTAAAGAGTCTCTGGAACTTGGTGGACATGTTTAGTGGTTGCATTTTCTCACAATTGTGGGGAGGGTTCCAAAACTGCATTGCCACTAATGTACCGAGTGAGGGGGCTTGGATATTGGGAGTTTAGCATGGTTATCCTAAGCATGGTACCCTACACTATAATCATACGAAGAGTCTGTAACCATGATATTTGTATCTTTTAATTGTCAGGGTTCGGATTATGAAAGCTAAGATTGAGGCAGTGTTGCATTTTATGGCTTGTTGCTGCCACTTGCTACTCTTCTCAAGGGTGCGGGGCTGGCTCGCGCATAATCCGCGTTACCGGGCTGCTGTTAAGGAACTCAGATTAAGTTACTATAATAAGGATAGGGTTCAGGGTTGACTGAATACTGAATCTCCCCATAATACTAACGAAGCCGAAGCTCGCAACCCAACACCTCTAGAGCCAAGACGTCAGCATACACCCCAATGCCCTCATCCGGGCTGCTGCTAAGGGACTTAAACTGTTGAACTAAGTTACTATAAAAAGGAAACCCTATGGTGCTATCTCCACATATTATGGTAACTAGAACTAGGTTCCCTAACAGCAACCGAGGTTAAGGCCATCCCAGGTGCGGGGTCATGGTTGGTTGGATCTTGTACGATGTCTTGCAGAACCTGAATGCAACATCAGTCACGAGGTACATAGGGGGTTATGGGGATAGGGTGTTGAATGTAGGAGCCTGAACGATTAACAAAGCTTAGGTAAGGGTTTAGGGTTGTGGGAAATCCAGTATTATCGACTTATATGGCAGGATTGGTAGTTGAGGGTAGGTACCCCTCCAAGGTCACGACGAAAGCCTTCCAGAATCCAAGACTTTTCTTCTTGTGCGAGACGCTGAAAATTGCAGGAACTTATTTGGAAGTTTCCCTAAATTACTGTTCCCAAAATGGTGGAAATATATCTAGGGCCCCGTATTATAATGGGAACCCAAATATAGGACCCCGTATTATAGGGAATTTAGACCAATCCCCTTATGGTGGTCAAGATTGGACCTACCCTTCTGCCATCTGCACCTGGCCTTAGACTCCAACCCCTCAGCGCCCCCAAAGCCTAAGGCATACGAGGAACTTCCATACAGGTGGCTGGTAGTCAAAATTATGGTCCTTTTTTGGGTCCCTATTATATTACGGCCCCTAATATTTAGGGTACCCAAAAAGGGACCATAATTTTGACAACCACCCAGGTGGGTGTCCAACATCCTGTAGGTTGCGGAACAGCAGTAGCACATATTGTGTTTGGGTTCTCTTGCTAGCCCCCGCCCCACCCCGTAACACTGCATAGACTGGATGTATACATATGAATACATATATACATATATATATATGGCAAAAATCTGATCTATAAGTTAAGGGGTGGGAAGGTTATGATTGGAGGGAAGGTGTCAGTGGTTCCAAGCGGAGCCCTGAATCCTAAACTCTTGAATCTACGCCCTTAACCCTACAGAAGATCTTGAAAGTCATCCTATACATAA